CCTTTGATCCCTGGGTTATTACATGGTCGCAATGTCACAGTATTTGCTTATGGAGCTACAGGGAGTGGCAAAACTTACACCATGCAGGTATATTTTTATGTGTCTCATAATGCACAACTTGCTTCGTTACTCCTGGCTCCTGCAATTGGACTAGTGCGCGTAGATTAGGAGATAAATATTGAGTTACAACAGATGTACACGATGTTTCTTTTCAAGTTTTTTGCTGCTCTACTACTATAACGTAGATCCATGAGTGACCAAAGGAGATATCAGATTTTTCGGATTGGCACCATGCATAAGCTTATCCATTTTGTCCTAATCTATAAATTTTACATTTGACCTCTAAAGAGATATGTATGTGAAGCATATAGTTCCCTGGAATGTACACGTGGATTGTTTTGCAAATACCTTGTTACTGATGCAGGGAACTGAAAACCTCCCTGGTCTAATGCCACTTGCAATGTCCTCTATTCTCTCGAGGAGTCAGGGAAGAAGTAACATAGCAATATCATACTATGAAATATACATGGATAGGTGCTATGATCTACTTGAACTTAAGGAGAAGGAAATTTTCATATTGGACGACAAAAGTGGACAGATTCATCTCAAAGGACTTGCACAAGTTACCATCAGTTCAATGTCAGAGTTTCAGGAGGCGTTTTCTTGTGTGGTTCAGAGAAGAAAAGTTGCACATACGGGTGTTAATGATGTCTCTAGCCGTAGTCATGCCGTGCTCACTATTTATGTTTCTACTCCTTGCTGTGATGATACTGGAAATGTTGTTACTGGGAAGTTGAACCTTATTGACTTGGCAGGTTTTAACACTACTAAATTTAACCATGAATTATTGTGTAAGACCATTTAACTGAAAGGTAACTCACATGTTGTAACTCTAATGTCATTGAATTAGGAAACGAAGATAATAGAAGAACTTGCAACACTGGAATTCGTCTACAAGAGAGTGCTAAGATCAACCAGTCCTTATTTGCATTGTCAAATGTGATTTATGCATTGAACAACAATCAACCGCGAATACCCTATAGAGAAAGCAAATTGACAAGGGTATTGCAAGACTCTCTTGGAGGAACAAGCCGTGCTTTGATGATTGCTTGCTTGGTAGGATGTTGTATATATTATCTCTTGCCTTTCGGTGCCGCGAATGCAACACTTTTCTGAACACTATTTTCTTTTATTTGTTCATAGAACCCTGGAGAGTACCAAGAATCTCTTCATACAGTTAGTTTGGCAGCCAGATCAAGACGCATATCCAATTTTGTTGCCTCAGCCCAAAAAGGAGGTACTCCAAAGGTCAAAGTTGATATGGAGGCAAAGCTTCGCACCTGGCTAGAATCTAAAGGCAAGACAAAAAGTGCTCAAAGAATTGGGGCATTTGATTCTCCATTTACTAGCAAAACTCCAAATTCCATATGCTCTACCAAAAAGCTTGGTTTGTTTGAGAGCTCTTCAAAGCATAAATTTATTAGTAAACAAGGTGCTTCAAGCATAAAAAAGAGGTAAGAGATTACTCTATGATCTTGCTGTACTTACCTGTGTTAGATTTGATGATTGCTTAACTTTGCATTTGATTTTGATGACTGCTTAATTTTGTTGTACAGAGATCCAGATGGGGCCTGTAGAAATCTATTTAATAATAGACATCGATCAAACATCACAGCGGAGGTAAAAGACAGAGAGAACTATAATTTTGACCAAGTTCATTGTGAGTTAATGATGCAACATTTTGCTCCTTGCAGAATTCTTCGTGTTAAATTGAATAAAATCCATTGACAAACTTGGTCCATTGGATGCCCTCTATTATTTACTACTACTAGATAACTACTGTGAATATAACTTAATTTCTTTGAATTACGATGAACTGATTAACGTGAAACTATAACTATTGCCATTTCCATAGATTCTTGGATTACCCCACTTTAAGTTAATGCATGGCTGATAGCTTGATTAGCTTTAAAAAAACAGTTTTTAATTTACTCAATTTTTTCACAAAGAGAACTACTCAGTTGATTGATTTTGATATGTGATAATTAACAACTAGAAACTTTCTGTGGAATCTTTTTGAATGAACAACAGAATGATTTAATCACAATTTTTATTATGTAAGAATTGGAGTAAATAGATAAATCATTTTAAGTTGGATTTCTCCATTAATGTGCAAATGCAGGCTCAAGACCTTGCTGATAATAGAGAAGAAAAGATGTTCGAGGTTTTTGCTGAAAGCGTTGCGCCTGAGTCTAACACACTGGTGCATGGTACTTGGTCACTATAACCATATCTCAGTTCTTGTAGTCTGCCTCATGTATTCTTAATCCAACTTTATATAGGTGACTCATATTAAGCTACAAGAATTGACTATGTGCCAAAGCTAGTTCTAGTGTTCTCCTTCGCCTACTCTTCCCACAGAGAGCAGTAGCATACCTATTTTGCATCAACTCATATTGAGATACAACCACGAGATCATTTTTCAGTTATCTATGTGCCAAAGCTAGTTCTGCACTGCTCTAGCTATAAATGTTCCCACACAAAATGGTAGTATAACTATTTTGCATAGATTTGTTTGCAAACTTTTGCCAATTATGTCTATAATATTTGATCTCTTCTATCATGGTTCCATCCCTCTGTATGTGCACATCCCTCTGTATGACTTATAATCATCAAATTCTCATTTTTTAAAACTTGCTCCTCCTTCGTTACTTAGTTTCTGTTCATAGATGGCACAATCTTAGGTGGTCCATTTCGCTAAGATTTTACCAAGTCGAACCCACTGAGCTATCAATGTGCTTTCTTCCCCCTTTAAGCATTTTAACGGTCATTGCAGAATCAGATTTCCCTCCACCATATAAAATTAATCCTGAAAAATGCACTCATCTTCTTGTTCTTCCACATACTCTAGAGAGGCATCCGTACTACTATTTCATCTCTATTTGAAGCATTTCGAACCCCCATATCCCATTTAGAATTAGTGTCTAATCCTCTCATTAGTATATGTAACTGAATTGGAGTTTATTTGTCTCTATTGATCCTATTTACAGATAGCTGTGACAAAAATTGGGGAATAACAAACTGTTCCAATAAGGAAATATCATATATCTTTTCTACATATAGTGAAATAAATGTTGAAGACTTTTGTCTATTTGATCTTGTGTAGATGAAAAAACCAATGCGGAGGACAAAGTGAGAACCGTTGATTGTTTCAGCTCCTCTAAAGCATGTGAGGTTGTTACCCCTAGAAAGGTCCTTTCTCCCATCAACTCCAACATAAACAATGAGAATATTCCAGCGTTAGGGACGCCACTTGATAAGTTCAGTACACAAAGTTCTAACTTGAAGGTGAGCAGGAATTCTTGTTGTCGTTATCTTCTGATTGCTTAGCATTTCTGGTTATAATTATTACACCTGTTGAGTCTACAGAACTCTCTAGTCCAGGAGTACATTGAGTTGTTGAACACAGCCAGCAAGTGAGTGTTGCTTTCTGTCTTTATTTCTTTTCATTTTTCTGTTTATTATTTCTACATGGAGATTAACTTTATTTTGTGCTACACTGTGTTAGGGAGCAACTAATGGAGATAAAGGTATGCGATTGATCTCTTCACATGATTCTAACATTGTCACCACTTCTACTAGTTGTGAATTTGACTGCATTTTCACATGTAATCTAGGGAATTGGACAAAAGATGGCTGAATACATTATCGAACTAAGGGAAACAAGCCCAATGAAATCAGTAAGAAACTCTTTTGAAGGTTTATGATGCTAAGTTTCTTGGTTTGTGACTGCATAACACTAAGCCTACTTAACTGGTTTATGCAGCTTGATGATTTGGAGAAGATTGGACTTTCATCAAAACAGGTAATGACATGCATTATATTTTCAATATTGAACTGAGAGGAGCTTAAATGGAGCGATATGAATAGTGAGGATTCATGTATAGGACTCATACTTGCTTCTGATTGAGGCTTATGTAAGTATTCTTTAAGCAATTGTGAATTATGGAGTGATAATGAAGAGTGTGCCTACATCCACTATAGGTACACAACTTATTCAGGTGGGCTGCAAGAGGAGTGCTGGGATGAAATTGATTTGCTTTGCAACACCTTGTTGTTACGAGAATGTGCAGGAGAAAAACTGGTTTTAGCTAGAACTTATGTTACTAACTTATAAGTATTTGTATAATTGAGTACTTGGATTTGAGAGCTAAGAAAGAAGGAAAATGTGAACTGCTGATATCAAATGTGTTGTATTTATGAGAAACGAAAGTATTCTTTTCATGCCCCTTCAAATGACTCTTTATAAGTAATATATTGTACCAAATCTATCCATAGATATTTGGGAATTACAGCATTTTCAGTTATATCTGCTTGTTTTCTTGAGTTGTTGCTACTACCTCTAGATTTGTCGAACTTATAAGGTTTAAAAGAGAAATCTAGAAATGTTCAGGTATGGTTGTTGTTAGAACGAATTTTTCCTCCCACGAAATTTCCTAAATTAATGAATCATTTTAATGTATTAATAGATACATTGGGTATGTTGTTGTTCTTCTTGATAAAAGTTAACTGCGACTTGGTTATAGTGGTGGCCGGTGGGTATCACGGGTAAATGTTTGGATTGACTTTTAAGCCGGTTAAATCAGTTTTTAAGCTCTTTTTAATTTAGTTCAGTGTTTGATAAAATTACAAAATGCTTTTTAATTTTCTTCAGTGTTTGAGAAAATTACAAAATGCTTAAAACAAGTCAAAAACAGTACGACTGAACAACCCCAACTAACTGCTTTTTGGTTTAAAAAAGTAACTTTTTTTAAGCGAATCCAAGCATGCTGTTAGTCAAATATAATCTGAAACAACTTTGGACGAACAAAATAAATACTAATTTTCCCACCTCAAATACTAGTTTAGCGTATTTGTTCTTAATAGTAGTTGTCTTCTTTATCAAATAAATATTTTTAGGATGAACCACGCAAAGACAGGAAAAAAGGAAATAATACACAGTAACAAGGAAGTAAGTTCTTCAATTACTTGAAACCAAACAACCACCACTTCCAAAACATAGGTTAAAATACCAGGAGCAGAGATGCTCATGTTACAAACCACACAACGACTTGTATACAATAACAAGAACCCAAACATTGTTCAGACTCCATACTATTTCTTATTAGAGAGGAAAAAACACATAATTTCCCCTGTTTTCAACAGACACAAGAACTATAAACTAGACATTTTTAAAACTATAGTTATTTTTTGTCTTAGCCAATAAAGGCAAACATCCATCTCTGCTTAAATAAGATTTAATTTGTTCATTTAGAACAAGTGCAGGGGTTACACTTGCAGTCAGATCCACATTTGCAACCATTTTCAGCAGCAGGAGATTCACCCATTTCCATAGTGCCGAAGCTTGTCTTCTCAGGTCCCACCCCAAGCACCAAAGTCTCGGTTGTGGTGCTCTCGTTGTAGCTCAAATCTGGGTACATCTTGCATCTGCCAACCAAAATTCAACAAACACAAAAAGTTAAGAAATTTTTCTACCATAAAACAACAAACCAATGTGATAAGTGGAGTCGGGGAAAAGGTGGGCAGGGACGTATCTAGGGTAAGGGGCTGGGTTCATCTAAACTCAGGCTCCTCTCTCTAAAATATATATAATAATATTATATTTCTTTAAAAATATTAAAATATATGTGTGCACCATGCTTAGACTCTTATGGTGCAATAATTATTACGTGCACCTCTTCAAGATTCAAATCCCACTCAGAACGACCTTTTTTTTGGCACAGAGTACAACAACAACAAAAAAACCAGTACAGTGCAATCCCACAAAGTGAGATCTGAAGAGAGGGTAAAGTGTACGCAGACCTTAACACCGTCAAATGTAAATTTTGGATCCACCTCTTTGTCCTACCTTTGTGGGACAAAGAGAGGCTATTTCGGGTAAAAACTCAGGCTTTTCTACCACAAAACACAATCATTTTGCAATAATAATACCCAACACAAACATATAGACAAATCCAAAACCTAAAGTCAGTAAGTTTAGAACTTGTTATATGCACAATTTTTTTTTTTTTTTTTTTTTTTTTGTGGGCATGTGTGAAAGAGTTCAAGCAAAAAACAACGGGTTCAATTGAAGCCATAGTATCCATACTAGATCCGCCTCTAATTACAAAAGAACTTACTAGTAACCCCACAATTTTCCAATTGAGATCGTATCATTTCCCACCAAATACAATCTTGCGTGAAAATTTCAATCTGTCCAAGTTTAAACTTGGTGGACAAAGTTACCCGAAACTTATGCGGGTGAAAGTTCAAAAGTACCCCATGAAATTAAATTAGTGAAGGTGCATGCCCAAACACCACTGTCATTCACAAAATTCAATATAAAATTTATTATTTCCCAAAAAAGATATTCATGCATGCATCAACCAAAACAGTAAAAAGACGGGACTGATATTATTTAATACAGCAAAATTTCATGTTGATAAAAATAATACATAAAATAGCAACAAATTAATTCTGTATCAATTGATAGAGGGAAAAAGAAGGCATACCCGCCACAGCCGTTGCCGCACTTGCAGCCAGATCCACAACCACAGTTTCCTCCACAGCAAGACATTTTCTTTGTTGTGAATTGAAAGTGTTTGATAAGAAATATGCAAATTCAAGAAAACAAGTGTTTTTTTTTAATGATGTAGAACGAGTATTGAGGAGTGTCCATTTATAGAACAACGGAGGAGAGGGAAGAGGTGACATCAACCGTACACGTGGCAAGATCGTGAAGGAATATCTAATCCTTGTAAGGCGGTCCATTCATGATCTTAATTACTTCCACGTATCTGTCGTTTTCTATCCTCCTAAATCTGTTCCCTATTCTCAATCAGGAGAAGCTGGTATTTTCTAGAAATGTACGTCCTCCTCTGAGGTGTCATTTCGTTCTAAATTAATTATGCCAAGGAAGATTAAATATAATAATTTCGGTATTAGAAGAATTTAAATAAAGTAATATTATTTAGACGCTTTCAACTTGTTTGAGGTTGGGATATTAATTGTTGTAATTCCAATCAAGTACAGATAAATCACTTGAATCAGTTTTTCTTAATCGCTCTAATCAAACGATCTTACCTCTATGCCCTTTTAAGAGTAGGGGTAAGTTTGCTCTAATCAAACGATCTTTAAAGGGTCGTTTGGTATAATGTATTAGGAAAAATAATACGTGTATTAGTTTTGATATTATTAATTCTTTGTTTGGTAGTGTTTTCAACCTATATATAACTATATTTATATTAATTATGCATATATTTAATAATATTTTTATACATAGCAAACCATGACATTATCAATATCATAATTTTTAATATATAGATAGGCATCTATAACGACAAAATTACCCTTGCAAAATCTTTTCCAAATCCTTCCAAATAATGTATACGTATTTTTGTAAACAAAATATTTTTTAAAAGAAATAGTGTACAATGCATATTATTTTTAATATACCAAACTAAATAGATGATAAGAAATAATCTTATCATAACTATTCTCAACATAATTAATTTCAGTATTATTAATTCTAATATTAATAAGATATTCTATTCAATATTATTCTTATAAATCCTACCAAACTGACCCCTAATTTTTTTGGTTGATAATGCAGAAAAAAAGGATAAGATTGTAACCGAGAGGAGAAGATATACTAATTGTTAGTGATTTGTCTATGGCTTAAAAGTCAAAGTGAAAGGGACAATATCATAATATCTGCACCTACAACAAACCCAAACTTTTCCTGCACCTTAACATGTGTTATTTTATCTTAAATACTTTTATTTAAGAAAGATTACGTGATTCTTTCGTATGTTTTTGTTAAATAAAAATCTAAAAATGTCGGTTCACTTTTGGTTTTTCATATTAGTGACGTCACGTTACTTCTTGAACCCGAGAAATAATAAATTTCATTTGTAATAAAACATTTCGTAGCAAGTACTCAGGATCATAAATAATAAAAAAAATATAAACTTTAACTTCTTTCAGTTTGAGACTAATGTTTTCTAGAATCAAATTAATAAAACTTGGTAACATAATAGATGCCGGACTACCCTTAAAAATTAGGAAAAGGGATGAAAAGAATATTTCAGTTTTGTTCTCACTTGTTTGAAATGCAAACTAATTAAATCTGGAGAAAATAATAAAACAAAATAAGTCCTCTGTCGACCTCATATTTATAAAATAAAATAGGTAAGGGAACAAAGAATAAACTCTTTTCTTCTTTTTATTCTTAATAAACTTTTTTCTTCTTTTTAATCATTCATCTTAAGTGTTTCTTTTCTTAATTTAATCCAACTAAAAGAGAAAGAGTTGTAATATGCTGACGACCAACAAAAAATTAGCTAATTTTATGATAAATCAACAGAATCAATCTCAAATTACTAATATTGGAATGCGACGTCCAAATATTTAACAAAGTTCAACAACATCAACAACATACCCAGTGTAATCCTACAAGTGGGGTCTGGAGAGAATAGTGTATATGCAGAACAGATCCAATGTAATCCCACAAGTGAGATCTGGGAGGATAGTATATATGCAGACCTTACCCCTACCTTTAATAAGGCAGAAAGACTGTTTTCAGAAGACCACTCAGAAAAAATAAAAGGAAGGAGCAACAACATACAAACCACTCAAAAAACCAAAGTGAACATACAAGACTAACATTAAGTACTGCAATGAAAAAATCGAAGCGAAAGAAGCGACAAGTAATAACAAAATCTAAGAGTAAGAAAATACAAGACTAACACTAGGTAATGCACTACACTACTGGCATTAGCAAGGATAACGCTTGGTTACCTAACTCTCTACCTTAATCCTCAACCTCCACACTTTCCTATCCAAGGTCATATCCTTGGTGAGTTGGAGCATCGCCATGTCTTGCCTAATCACCTCTCCCAACTATTCCTTCTGCCTGCCTCTCCTAAGACCCTCCAAGCCCAACCTCTCACACCTCTTCGCTAGAGCATATGCCATCCTCTTCACATGCCCGAACCATCTAAGTCTCGCATCCAGCATCTTGTCCTCCACATGAGCCAACCCACCTTGTCCCGGATTACTTCTTTCCTAATTCTATCTAATCTGGTATGGCCGTACATCCATCTTAACATCCTAATTTCTGCAACCTTCATCTTCTGGATATGGGAGTTCTTGACTGGCCAACACTCAGACCCATACAACATAGCCGGTCTAACTATCGCTCTATAGAACTTACCTTTAAATTTTGGTAGTACATTCTTATCACAGAAAACACCGGAAGCGAGCCTCCATTTCATCCACCCCGCCTCAATACGATGTGTGACATCTTTGTCAATCTCCCCATTCCCTTGTATAACTGACTCAAGGTACTTGAAACTTTCTCTCTTAGGGATGACTTGTGATTCAACCCTCACGTCTTCGTCCACTTCCTGAATCGCACCCTGAACTTGCACTCCAAGTATTCTGTCTTGGTCTTGCTCAACTTGAAATTACACCCTTATACTCCAGGGTATGCCTCCAAAGATCTAACCTTGCGTTAACACCGCCTCGCGTCTCGTCGACCAATACAATTATATCTGCAAATAACATGCACCACGACACCTCCCCTTGAATGTGGAGTGTCAGTGTGTCGATCGCCAGGGCAAATAAAAATGGGCTGAGGGCTGACCCCTGGTGTAGCCCCACCATAACTGGAAAGTATTCTGAGTCCTCTCCCATTGTCCTCACTCGAGTCTTAGCTTCATCATGCATATCCCTAGTAGCCCTAATATATGAAACAAGAACACCTCTGGCCTTCAAGCTTCTCCACAGTACCTCCTTCGGTACTTTATCGTAAGCCTTCTCTAAGTGAATGATAAAAATGTATATATATGTTAAACCCTTGATTGACCTGTACTTGCAGTTATTATTGTTGTTTTTCTTGAATGTCGAAAATGGATTAAGTATACAAAGCAATGTCAAACACTATCATTTTAGCTAATTTTGTTTCTCCCTAACCTCATGTGAAAAAAATATGCAATAGTATGGTAAATAGTAAATACATTTCTAAAACATAGTTATGCATAGTTTTTTTCTTTAATACAAGTTTAATAGTAGTGTGTTTTACAACAGTGTTATAGCTGTTATATGAGACTGGTTAATCTAACAACTTCCAAGTCCCATGATAAATCACAAGCGATGTCTTGTCAAATCAAAATCAAAAGCCAAATAGTTAGGTTCTTCTATAGGCAAAAATACAAGGTACCAGGGGCCGCAATCTATTAATTATTATTTTTATTTGATAAATTAGACAAGATAAGATAAGCTTTTGGAAAGTATGACCCACCAGTCTGGTCATAAATTGTGAAAATTCAATTTCAAATGCTTACAAGGTATTGCTCCTTTAAAAGGAATGCCTTTATTAGTTTTATTCAGAGAATTATATAATTTTCTAAAGATATTTTTAACTTAAACATTAAGTATAAATTATAGTATTTTTATTTATTTTCTAAATATATTTCATTTCAAAAAAGTTTACAAATTAGTGTATGAGGTAAAATTGATAAACGACAGATGGATGCTCGACGAGTTGACACGTAAAAGTAAAGACATGTAAGCAGGGGTGTCAATGGATATTTAAAAACCAACTAAACACATCGAACTGTACCGTACTGAATCGACTTTTAGTTTTTTTTAATAAAATCATAGGTTTTTATATAAATCTATAACCATACCGAAAATTAGGGTAGGTTTTTTATTTTATGAAAATAAATCGAAAAATACAGAATTGTCCCGAATAAATTTACATGCGAAAAATATATTTATATATTATATTTTTAAATAATAAAGCATTAAAATTTTCCTTGGGCCTTTGAATTATGAAAACACTTACAAGCCAAGAAGTAATTAAACTCAAATCCTAATTTCCAAACCTATTATGCTACTCCTATTGAAACTAAATTATTTCCGGCATATTCACTAGCAAGACACAAGGTATTCTAGCGATTATGAGTAGCAAATGACAATGCATTAAATATGTTTCCTTTCGTATGATTTAGATTTATCTTTTTGAATATTTAATCTTCTATAGACTTTATTCTTGAGTCCCATGTTGGTTAATATCTTTTCACTCGTGTGATTTATATTTTTTTGTATTTGCTTGGTTTCTTTTACGCTTTTGTAGAGTAGTTGAGGGATCTATACTCTGGTCATCTTTCATATTTTCTTAATTAATCACTCTTTAAATAGTAAAAATATCTAGAGAGTTTATCTAACCCCTATAAAAGTACATATGTTATTGCATTCTACTTCTACTAGTAAATTTTACAAAATATTTTAAAAAATACCAAAAATTAACCGAACAGTACCGATACCGAAGAGAAACCAACATGATTGGGACGGTTTCGAAAAGTCTAATTTTGGTTATACATAATAGAATAATCAAAAATTTGGAATGGTACAAATTTTGTAAAAAATCAATCGAACAAAACCATTGACACCCCTACAGGTAAGGTATGAGTTAGCAAATAGTTGGCACCGAACACAAACATGTGACCGGTGCTGAATAAGTTCTGAAGGAATTGAAACCAAGAACAAAGATTTGAAAGGAAGACATCACTTGGAAAAAATAGTATTCAATGAGAAGCCGTTACAAAAAATCTCTGTATTAATGCTCAACCGTTATGCAGCCATGAAGAGGTTTATTCACAT